TTTTTTTTTTTTTTTATTAGAAAAAACCTTTCGATGAAGCTCCGTTATAGTAGAAACTGGAATTTAAAAAAGCTTACATTTTGATCTGTCATATTGACAACTAAAGTCAGCACTTTATTGGAGTATTGCTCAAGTGCCTCAATAAAACCCTCAACCTGCTGAACCATCGCAGTTCTTCGAGCTGCAGTTTTCAGCCATTCATGTTGAACATATTTGGTAGCCCAATCCTAAAATTGAGAATCTCTTTTAATAGAAGCAAATAAAAACCAACTGTGTACCGTCAGAAGTTGAAGATCAAGAAGCTGCTAAAACACTGACCCAAGCAGCAGGATCCACTGGAAGGTTGTCAAATTTATGTTTCAAGACGTCCAACGCCTCTTTTAGTTGTTTCGACATTTCAAACAAAGGTGGCGATGATGCATTTGTAACTTCATTGGTGTCGTATGAACCTTCAGAATCCGATGATGTACTAAAATAGTTATTTGGTTTTCCCTTACGATAAATTCCTGTGAAGTATTTCTTTTAAAAATTTCTCTATTTTTGTCTTTACTTTCTTTCTGTTTTTAGAGGAAAAGGCTGTGGAAGTTAATAATAGATTTGATTATTTGAACGGTGTTGCAACCTGCAGTCTTATTTTGTGAAAAGTAAACACAACGAACAAACAGTAACACAGCACAAGTGAGCCCTTCAAACAGAAGCTTATGGAAGAACAAATTATGAAAAACCACTCTGATGAGCTCGCAATTTAGGACCAACGACAAAACGTCAAGTGGATTAACAGGGTTGATAGATGCGGGACTATGTGAAAGGATTACCGCAATTAACGGTAAAATCATTTATTTATTCACCATTTTGCTTCTCTTCTTTTATTTTTTTTTCTATACCCTACGTCTTTCTCGACCGCCGAGAAAAAGTTTTTTGGGTATCACACCGCTAAAGATAGTTTTAGAAGGCAAAATGATTTCAGTACGTACTGACAGGCCTTTCTTGCAAAATACGCTCAATTTATTGATGATATGTGATTTATAATATATGTCATTATATTTCGCTTTTGTCTAGGCAAAACATTTTTGTGCTTTTGTCTAGCAAATACCAAAAAACTTATACTTGAGAATCAAATGCAGAATTCCCACAAAAAGAACTAGTACTAGTAGTAAGTAATTTTTATGGAATTTTGGCATCTTTATTTGCCAATTCCCTGTATTGCTCATATTTGGAACAGTTAAGAACGGCTCAAGCTATCCATACAAAATATTAAAAAATGTGTACTTCTGATACTTGATTTTACGTCTTTCCAATGTGCAGGACACTAAAACTACCTGAATTTTAAAGAACGAAAAACTGGTACTGACAAATTCAGCAAAAGTTTCTCATTTAAACTCCCTGACT